CCCCAGGATGTGGCTGTTGTTCAGCTATGTGATATAAGCATATCACATATAAGCTACACTGAGCACACCTTCCCACAGCTTGGGGGGCAGTTTTCTTGTTCACCTCATGTTACAGATGGGAAGACGGAGCCACAGATGCCAAAGGCCTCCTCATGAGCACAGGGCAGGGTTTTAGTTCAAGGGTCTGGCACAGTCTGTTACTATCAATAACACAACCAGAGATTTCTGTAAAGAAAGGCCTGGAAAACGAGTAGATCGGCGCTATATTAGGATACCTTATAAAGGTCACTCACAGATGTCACTATCAGCATCTGTGGCTCCAGTGTAGGGAGATGGCTCTGGCCTTTGGTCATTTGGAGCTGGTAGCTATTGCCACAGGGCGAGTTCATTTGGGTGGGACACTAATTGGGTATTATCAAATGGTCAAAGAAGGCTCATTAGTCAGATCAAGAAGGCATGAGTATCCTTGAGTGAAAGAGCAAGAAGTGGATATTGGGGGGTGGTGCTGGTATGATTTTTCCTTTTTTTTTTAAGATTTATTTATTTATTTATTTATCATGTATATAGTGCGTGCCAAAAGAGGGCACCAGATCACATTACAGATGGTTGTGAGCCACAGATGGTTGCTGGGAATTGAACTCAGAACCTCTGGAAGAACAGTCAGTGCTCTTAACCCCTGAGCCATCTCTCCAGTCCCTGGTATGATTTTTCTAGCCTCAGTGAGCTCGGGGCGGGGGGTGCCTTGGAGTCTTCAGGCAGCAGAGAAGAGGGCCTGGCTTACAGTGCCCAAGCCAGTGACCCCTTCTCTGTCTTGGTGACTGTGTTGACAGCCATCTCTTCTTCTCCAGCTCCTGGGTTTCTGCCCTTCATAGTGCCTCTTCCCTCCTTCCTGGGATCCTTCGCCACCCTGTGGGCTCTCTATAAAGCATATGCAGATCTAGCCTCCCTCTGTTGCTGTCATTCACTACTCTGAGCCACCGCTGTCCCTTCCCTTGTCTATCTGCAGTCTGTCTCCAGATGCCTACTGTGGCCTCACCATCCTCTGGGCTTTAGGGTTGCAGTCTGACCACTGTCTCTGAACATAGTTAGTAGTGTGTCCCCTGAAGTCTCTCACCATGGCTGTACATGGCCTTAGGAAGGTGACTTAGGCAAGCTGGCCAACAGCAAGAAGCTTAACCTGGAGGGACCAGGGGGTACCAGAGAACCTGCCTTATGGGCCAGGAGCACAGCAGGGGCCGGAATATATCCCCAAGGCAAATATGGTGATCTGGGACTAGTGAGGATTCATGATACACAGGCTGGAGCACAGAGACCTAGGTGTTAACCTACTGGGAAACTACAGGGTCTAGGGCTTATTTTTATGGCTGTGTTGGGAATGGAACCTATGGCTTTTGCATACTGTGAAGCTAAATTCTGGGCCCCTTATTATTCCTTTTAAATACACACACACACACACACACACACACCACTAATAATAATAGTGGTGATAAAATAGGAGAAACCAAGGCCTAGAGAGACACTGTGAACTGGAGCTAAGTCACAGCAAATGGAGACAGCAGAAGGAGAAAGTCACACCAAGTTCACACCAGCTCCCTTCAGTCCACAGGGAAGCAGAGCTCCTGATGTAGGAAGCAGACTCCAAGGTGTTGGGGCAGAGTCCTGAGCTGAGTGGCCAGCACAGCAGACCTATGCTGGGTGGGGCAGTCTGCTATGACATGCCAGTCCGGAGGGGAGAGCAGCAGGTCCTGATACCAGCTCCTGTCCTGGGAATTATGATACTGCATAGTAGCTATTGTGTCTGTTAGCTTCTATCTGGACATACGTCCAGACATCTCTGCCTGCCCCTGGACCTGATGAAGAAGTCCTAAACTTGCCATGGTACTCACCCTGGCATCAGCCAACCTGTTGGTATTGACTTGTCTCTGGCTATACCACCCTGAATGCATTTAATCTCAGAACCAAGCAGGGTTTGGCCTGGAGTACTTGGATGGGAAATGCGTGATTTGTCATGGCTTCTGGCCACAAGTCTTGGAAGACCTCTACTCTGTTCTCTGGGCCTTGGAGCTCAGTTGCCTCATCTGTCCCAGGGAGAAGCAAGATGGAAGGATCCCCTTGTTTCTTATGGGGGCTACCAGTCTATTCCATGCTGCCTTGAGAGGCCTGGCTGGATCCTGTCCTGGCATCTCACATTTTGTTTTCATTTGTTTGTTTTGTTTTTAAGTATAGTTTTAAAAATCCATTTTAAGTGTCTCAGTGTTTTGCCTGCAAGTATGTGTGTGTGTGTGTGTGTGTGTGTGTGTGTGTGTATGTATGTATCTATGTATGTATGTATGTATGTATGTATGTATGTATGTATGTGTAACACATGCATGCCTGATGCCTGCCAAGGACGCTGGAAGGCATTGGATCTCCTGGAACTGGAGTTACAGATGGTTGTGAGCCTCTGTGTGGATCTCGGGAAGCAAACCAACGTCTTTGGCAAGAGCAGCCAGTGCTCTTGCCCACGGAGCCCTGGCTGCAGCCCCTCACCCTCGGTGTTATTTTCAGGAAGAGAGGCATCGCCCTCCCAGCAGACACAGTGGAGGGGCTGCGCAGCGTCATCGGCATGGACAAGCCCCTCTCGCTTCCGGGCTTCCTGGCCAAGTTTGATTACTACATGCCTGTTATCGCGTGAGTTGCTCCCTCCCGGTCCTTGTATCCCAGGGCAAACGCATCCCTGTAACCAAGAGCAGAGTGAGCCTCTGTGGAAGGCGCCCTGAACCTCCAGGCTTGCTTCTTACCATGGCGTGCACCTGCCAGTCTCTCCTGGACCTTTGGACTCCTAGTCTCTTACCCCACCCAGAGGCAGAGAAGGCTCTGCTGAAGGAAGCCCTGTGCTGGTCGGGCTATGGGATGTCTTGTTCGGAACTCACTGCCCTTTAACACCTACTATCCCCAGACCCATGCCACCATCACAGATCTCAGAGAAAGAGCCCTTGGCCTAGGTCAAGAAAAGACACGGGTGCAGAGCAGGGTAGTCCCTGAATCAGGTTCCCCATGCCCCAGTCTGCAGCTTTGGAGGGAAGGCCAGGCCAGGCACTAGAGTGGGAAATGGAGATGGAGTTGGGTTGTTCTTTGATGTCTTGGGTCACTGCTTGAATGAGGATCATTACTAGTCACTGAAAAGTCATTGGAGAGTGTCAGACAGAGAAAGGACTCAGACTCTGAAAACCTAAGCCAGCCTTCTGACCCAGATTTATCAGCTTCTCTCTGTGTTCCTCAGAGCAAACACCAAAACCCACATGACAGGTGCACACCAGCTGCACTGGTCCTACAACTTTGATCCCTTACTTTTGGCAGACGCTGACTCCTCCCCTACCCTGGGGACTAACATACCCCAGTCTCAGGTCCTCTGTCTTTGTTCTCTCTGCCTGGAATGCTGTTCCCTAGAAGCCCACGGTTTGCCTTCTGCACATATCTCCCGTGTCCCTTCTCAGTGAGACCTTGCTGACCATGTTGTAGGCTACCACACCACCTCCTGGCTTTATCTGTATTGACAGTGTTCCTTCCTGGTGGACTCTGTTTGCCCTTTACCTGGCTCTCCTGTCTGAAGATAACCAAAAGGCAGGGATGCAAGTTCCTGTTCAGTGTGTGCTAAGAGTCTGGGTCTGGTATGAGGGCTCAGTATGCACTTGGAGAATTTATGGAACCACAGCTATGGGAGAGCTGTGGGGTCTGGAACTGGGAAAGGCAGAGAGCAAGCCCCTCCCTATGCAAGAGCTGAGACCGAGATCCTCTGTCATCCATTGAACCTCCTCCTGGCAGGATGCCGGGGCAAGCAAGGAGTCCTGAGGTGGGAGGGACAAGCTTGATGGTCCTTGGCCAGAGGAAGAATGTGAAGAACAAGATGCTAGGGAAGCTGGTCACTGTGCCACTGGGGCTGGCATGGAGTCAGCTCTTTCTGCACAATTGAAAGCCATAGGTGTGGGAGGATGCTAGGTGCATGCCCCGCCACTGAGCCATACCCCTAAGCCCTCTTTGATTTTTAGATTGGGGGAGGGGGATCAGAGGACAACTTTCAGGAGTCCGTGCCCTCCTTCCGCCCTGTGCAACCTGGAAGTCAGGCTTAATAGCAAGCACCTTTTCCTACTGAGCCATCTCACTGGCCTCCTGGTTTCCATTTCACTGCTGTGTGGAGAATGGAGCTCAGGGCAAACATGGAGACACGCCCATTAGAGGTAGTCAGTCACCCAAGGGTGAGGGAGAATGAGTTTGTAATTCAGAAGTGCAGATGCCAGGACTTGCCAGGTTGCTTGGGCGTTGGTGGCTCACGCCTTTAGTCCCAGTACTGGGGAGGCAGAGGCAGGAGGATCTCTGTGAGTTCGAGGCCAGCCTGGTCTACAGAGCAAGTGCCAGGATAGGCTCCAAAGCTACACAGAGAAACCCTGTCTCGAAAAACCAAAAAAAAAAAAAAAAAAAAAGGTTGTTGTCAACCTGTCTTTTTCCCGTTCCAGGGGCTGCAGGGAGGCCATCAAAAGGATCGCCTACGAGTTTGTGGAGATGAAGGCAAAGGAGGGTGTGGTGTATGTGGAAGTACGCTACAGCCCACACCTGCTGGCCAATTCCAAAGTGGACCCAATCCCCTGGAACCAGACCGAGTGAGTGACAGCGCTGGAGGGGGCTGTGCTGAGTGAGAGTGGGGCTGCATTGTCCAGCTGAGAAGAGAGGATGGAGCGCTCAGAGCCCTGGCCTTGGCCTGGCCCATGGACTCAACCCAGTCAGAAGAGGCATGATCTCTGTCTCTCTGCTTGTGGCTGTATCTCTGCCTTAAGTGAAATGTTCAGCTAGCTGCCCCTGAGTCTGCCTGGCTCAGCCAGTGACTTGTAGAGGCTTTGCTCAATGAATGAGTCTGGCCCATTCCTGTCTTCTGGTCTGGATCCCTTCCATCTTGAAATATTTTGAAGCCCCCTTGCTCCTTCCCTCTGAGTCAAGACCCCGATACATATAGAAAGTGGTAGTTCCACAGGCCGAAATTTAGTCCCCTCTCCATCTAGAAATAGGGAGGGCTGACATCCCCAAGCTAGAATCTGGCAGTGCCCAGACAGCTCTAAGGAAGTAGACCACAGCACAGGAGCTTGAAATCATGTCCACGGGTCTCCTTGGAAGACATAATTCAGGGGCAAGGCTGCTCCTCCTTGCTCCAGTTCCATGGTTGACCATGGCCTTCCCTTGGCCTGAAGTCCTCCCTCCTTCTCTCCCCACACAGAGGGGATGTCACCCCTGACGAGGTTGTGGATCTTGTGAACCAGGGCCTGCAGGAGGGAGAGCAAGAATTCGGGGTCAAGGTCCGGTCCATACTGTGCTGTATGCGCCACCAACCCAGTGAGTATCATTGTATCTGCCGGCTGCCTGGCCTGGCTACAGGGCTGTACCTGCTCTGTCCCAGACTCTCTACCCATGTGTCCAGAGCTTTCTGGACGTCAGTGAACTCTCAGCAGCTCTAGTGAGTCTCCTTAACAGGAAATCTAGGACTTGACAGCCACGTGACTGACAAGAAGGTCACAGCCAAAGGAAACTAAACAATAGGGAACCATCTAAGACCACAGGACTCTGTGGTTTGGCCCGGTCCTATCTGAGCCAGAGCCTCTTGCATAGGTCTGGTTTCTGGGGTGTTGAGATTCCTCCTCTGTTAGCAATATTGGTCAAACATCTAGGGCTCAAGCTCTAACCTGCAGAGCCCACTCTGTGACCCCAGGCAAGTCACATCACCCCTCTTGAGCTCTCACACTTCACCCAGGGATGGTCATACTCACTTTGTGCCCCCACCATAAGGATTAGTGGGAACCAAAGCCAAGGGCTGATGTGAGGTTACAGGGCTTGCTACAATAAATGGCCTGCCTGCCTCTCTAATCCTTGATGCAGTCTGTGGTTTGAACTCAGTCATCAGGCTTATGGCTTTACCCACTGAGCCATCCTGTAAGCCCGCATCATGATAACTTTATGGGGCTCTTAACATAAAGTAAATGATTCATCAGCAATGGACTAACATTCCTGTGACCTATATTATGGGCTAAATATTAGGCTCTATTTTCTCATTTTCTGCGTGGGAGTCAGTCTGCCGTGGTGTTGATAAACACTGAGAGAGCAGCAGCCTCTGTCTCAGCGAACCCTTGCCATGTACGGTGGTTGGTGGTGGTGTTCTCTGGGAAAAGGAACTGTGAGGCTTGGCTAGGGGAGGCAGAGCAGTCAGGATCTGAAGACAAGACGCTAGATCCTACGTCTTCTCTGCACTCAGATGAGGGATTAGAACATCCAGTGGGACAGCTGGGCAGACATACCCCCATACTGTTTGAGGATGGTCCATTGAACCTCTCTCCCAGACTGGTCCCCTGAGGTGTTGGAGCTGTGTAAGAAGTACCATCAGAAGACTGTGGTGGGCATCGACCTGGCTGGTGATGAGACCATCGAAGGAAGTAGCCTCTTCCCAGGACATGTGCAAGCCTATGAGGTGGGCCTGAGAAAGGGAAAGATGTCCTGGGGGAGCTTGGATGGTGAGCTTGGAGCCTCCTGCGTCCCCAAGTGAGTGTTAGTTGGGGTTAGGGACTCAGAATGGGGTATAAATAAAAGCCCCTGCATGGTGATGGGAGAGCTTTTTGAGTCTGCATCTACCTGTGATTTGTTGTGTGACCTTGGACAGAACTGCTGCTTCTCTGGGCCCTGTTTCTTGGTTCTCCCTTCCTGTTAGGTCTTGGTCATATTAACCTGGCTTTCTCACACTCCACCCTAAAACAGTGTAAGGTTTGCTTTAGAATACTGGACAATGTGTTTAAACCCTTCAAATAGTATCCATGCACAGGAGATGAAAAGTAAGGATAGTTTCCACTTTGTTCATGACTTGGGAAACTAGGCCACACTGTCCCATGAACTTACTGACTCTGAGGACAGTCACACCCACTAAAACTTAGACCCCCAAGTGTGGAAAAGACCGTGCTTTCTAGGGACCCCTTTCTAGGGTAGCTCTGAAGCTACCCCCCAACCTGTTTCTTCCCGTCCAGGGAGCTGTGAAAAGTGGCATTCACCGTACCGTCCATGCTGGGGAGGTGGGCTCTGCTGAGGTTGTGCAACAGGTAAGGAACAGAGACCCTGGGCCTCTTCTTCCTGGTTCCAATACTGCTCCTGCACTTACCGCCTCTCTGCTTCTCCACAGGCTGTGGATGTACTCAAGACAAACAGGGTTGGACATGGCTACCACACACTGGAGGACCAGGCCCTCTATAAGAGGCTACTACAAGAAAACATGCACTTTGAGGTGAGGGTCCGAGGCTGGGAGCTGTCTCTGGCTACCCCATGCCATTGGACAGAGGTGGAAGAACAGGCAAGCTGAGTGGGAGTGGCCAGATGGTGGAGGTTTTCAGGGCTTGAAGCAAGGAAGGGTGTCCTTGCAAAGCTGGTTAGAATGGCACCACAGCGGGTAGCTCAGCCCCTCTGGGTCTGGCCTGAGGCCCACCATGCCAGTCACACACCTGCCTCTTGCAGGTCTGCCCCTGGTCCAGCTATCTCACAGGCGCCTGGGATCCCAAAACGGAGCATGCAGTTGTTCGGTGAGACCTGGTTCCTGGGACCCATTTGGTTTTCTTCTGAAAAGGAAGGGGAGGGAGTGTAGCAATGGGTACCTGGTCACCCTGGTTCTTAGTAACAAAGTCATGTTGGCTGCTGGGAAACAGGCGTTGCTGTCCATGTCCAACAAATGAGTGTGAAGCTGTGGTCCCCACCTACTAACGAGGAAGAGCTCGGGTTCCATAGTTCGTCAGCCACAGCAGAATGCCTCCTCCCAGGAGAGGCTTCTACATTCTTGACACCCAACTCTGTCTCCTGGGCTGTGGGCAGATGAGTCTGTCTGGGTATTTGCTGTTGTTGGTGCTGTTGGGCACTCCCCTGAATGCCAGCTTGAAGCTTTTCCCTGGAATGTCTGTCTCTCATACTACCTAGCTCCCATCAGCAACTAAGAACAGGGCCTTCCTGTGCTGTGACCAGGCCCTCATCAGGGTTCATGAGGACAGTGCTGTCTTCTCCTAAGGCAGGATACAGATGGCAAGAACTAGGGCTGACAAAGGACAGCCCAACACTGGTCTATCAGCCAAGCTTACACAGATGGAAGCAGTGGGCTCTGATGACAAGTTGGGCTTCCTGAGTACACAGGTACATGGTGCCTGTGGGACCCCAAACGGCAGCTCTTGGAGGCACATGGGTCTGCAGCACACTGGCTAAAGAGTCGGGTCATCTATGCAAACACAAAGGTTGAAGAACAAAGACTCTAGGAGATGGTGATGAAGAGGACTAATGGCACTGACAATGCCATCAAGGGACAGGCAGAAAGAGAAGGAAAGTCAAAAGCATGGTGTCAAGGACTAGGAAGACAAATGAGTAGCTAAGAGTGCTTGCTGTTCAAGCATGAGGACCAGGGTTCAGATTCCAAGCATCACATAAAAGACAGGCATGGCCATGCACACCTGTGACCTCACTACTAGGGTGGGGAGTGGATACAGGAAGGTTGTTGGGGCTTGCTGGCCCCAAAGAATGTGGCAGAGGAAGACAGCCACCGCCTCCCTCTAGCTCTGCACACCCACAAACATGGGCATACACACAAACAGGAAACAGAGGAAATCTTATATATATATATATTTTTTTAAAAAAAAAAAAAGTGTGGTGTCAGAGAATGAATGGTGCTTTCTGGGACTGGTACGATGGTTCAGGATGTGAAGGTACTAGCTCCAAAGCATGACAACCCAATAACCTATATGGTAGAAGCAGAAAAATGACTAATACAAATTGTCCTTTGACCTCCAAACATACACCATGACATGCACATCCACACCATAAATAAACAAACATTTTAGTACAGCAGTCCTGAGTTCAATTTCCAGCAATCACATGGTGGCTCACAACCATCTATAATGAGGTCTGGTGCCCTCTCCTGGCCTGCAGCATACATGCAGGCAGAACACTGTATACATAATAAGTAAATCTTAAAGAAAACAAACAAAACAATAAAAAAGGTGTTGAATACTGCTATCCAAGCAAATAAGGTTGGAGCTAGCAGAAACCAATCAAGCTCAACAAGATGGTGGCAGGGTTGTGCCAGGAAGTTTGTGTCGTACGGTAAGGAACTGAAGCCTGGCTAGGAAAGGGAGGCAGGGTGCCAACCACACTCCAGTACGGAGAAGAAGCCTATAGGGCATGGTAGCTTCAGGGGCTGTTACTTTCCTGCTTTCCAAATGGCCCTCCTCCTTGGCTGTCACTTCGGACCATTCTTCTGCCTTTGCCCCAGGATTGGCAGGGCAGCTTTAGATCAGCTCCTGAGCTTTCTAAGTAGGCAGCGATGGTTCTTGGAGTAAAGGGGCTCTTTTCTCCCTGCCGGCCGCTCCCGCAGCTTCAAGAAAGACCAGGCCAACTACTCACTCAACACAGACGACCCTCTCATCTTCAAGTCCACCCTGGACACTGACTACCAGATGACCAAACGGGACATGGGCTTTACTGAGGAAGAATTCAAGCGACTGGTGAGTAGGTGTGAGCTGTGGCCCTGACACTTGGACCAGGTGTCTGTGTGAGGACTGCCTGGAACCTCTGGAGACCCACAGTGGGTTTGCCTGACATGCCAAGCCAAGCCTAGCACCAAAGGCCTTCCACAGAGATCCCTTGGCACTGACATCCCAGCTGAGGGACCAGGTGGCTTAGCAGGTGGGTTGGTCCCTCTCCCCAGAAAGGTGTGTCTGGCTGTGGAAATTTCTGTGCCATTAGGCTACTCCTAGGCTAAGACCTTGGTCTTGGGTTCTGATGTTGAGTGAATCTCTGCGTCTCTGGCCCATATCTAACCGCCTCACACCCACACTGAGTATGGGGGCCCATGGTTCCCGCTACAGCTCATGCTGTCCTGTGGCTTAATACAAGCCCCTTGCCCTAGTTCACAAGGCCACTCCCTTCCTTGCTCTGCGACTCCATTTTTTTTTTTCCTTCTAGAACATCAATGCAGCAAAGTCAAGCTTCCTCCCTGAGGAAGAGAAGAAGGAGATTCTGGAACAACTCTACAAAGCATACCAATGGCCACCGCAGGCTGAAGGTACACAGCACAGCAACTGTCCCACCCCCGGCCCTCTTTGACCTTGTATGTGCCTCGTAGCAGAAATCCTGGGGGGACCATATACCTCTGCTGGGGCACAGTAACAACCCCATCCTGTCCCTCCTTGACTCTGTGTGTGGCTGGTAGAAGTCCTTTGGGGCTTGGGGTCAACGCTGAGAATAAGTGAGGACTTCCTGGCTTCTGGGCACAGTTTGTCAGTCAGCCTCTTGTCAGGGTGGCTATTTCCTGAGCAGCTACTATCTGGACACAGCAACCTGGAGTGTGACCTGAACAAGTTGACCCAGTCCTAGTCCCATGCGCCCCTTCATTTCTGTGCATGGCAAGCCACACATTCCCTTGCTTGCAGCCCATCTTGCTGTCTATGAAAGGAAGTCACTCTCTGGGCCTGGAATTCTGGGATTTCCCCAATGCCTTATGTGTTATGAGTGGTCTGACCTTTCTACTTCTCTGATTTGACCAGGAGGGCAGGTCCCCTGAAGATGGCAAGGCCACTTCTCTGAGCCTCAGCCTGTGGATGGAATCTGCACAACTCTGTGACACTCTTACCTTCATTCCTTCCAGACCCTGGAGTGGCCAGGTCTGTCCTCTGATCAGGTGTTCTGGCTAGGGCCCAGGGGCCTTGCCAATCGTGGGTATGAATCAGGAACCTTCCTTTAAGGCTAAAAATCTGTTGTTCAATAAAGCAGCTGGTGACTGGTATCTTGCAGCACACGGTGAATGTGGTCATGGGGCCGCTGGCTTGGGTGGGTAAGAATGAAGAGTCTTGGGGCCCCATGCTGGACACTGGGCTGGGAGGAGCCAGGACATTCCCTCCCGAAGTGACATTTTTCCAGAGGTGTTTGAGCACATGCTCCTGAACTCTTGGCTTCTTTAATCAGAGTCCTTTGCAGTTATTTTTATTTTAAAGGTTTATTCATTTTTATGTAAATGGGTGTTTTGCCTACATGTATGTATCTGTGAATGTGTGTGCTTGGTGCCAGAGGAGGTCAGAAGAGGGTACCATATCCCCTGACCTAGAGTTTAGATAGTTGGAAGCTACACATGTATATTTCAGAGGACACCTTGTGAGCGCTGGTTCTCTCCTTCCACCACAGCAGTGCCAGGGACTGAATCAGGTTGTCAGGCTTGGCAACAGCCCCTTTACACACTGAGCCATGTCACAGGCCCCCTTTCAGGTTGTTGTAGCCGTGGGCTGTGTGAGGATGGGGTAAGGAAGGGTTCATCAGATGCCATGTGAGGAGGTGTACTGGTCACTGCAGGACAGAGGGCAGCAGAGGAGCTCTGCTGGCTGAGGGTGTGGGGTGCAAGCCCAGCTGTGCACCTAGTGGTTAAAAGAAGGAATCTTCAGCCAGCCAGGCACACAAATCATCAGCGTTTATTTCCTGGGACCTCTTGGTACACTCTCTTGGTACAAAGGGCAAAGAATTGGTCATTTAGTTTTGAGTCCAAATCCTTTCCCTACATCTGGATCTGTGCGACTCCACGGGGGAACTCAGAGCTGCATAGAACATCAGAACTAAGCTTAAAACAAACCAAAACCAAAACAGAAAATAGTGATTGTCAGCTCCCCCTTCTCTGCTGAAAAAAGTTATGTTTTTAAAAAATGTAAAAGAGGCTTTAAAAAAGGGCTAGGAAGATCTTTCTGATGTAGGCAGCTGGTTAGAGAGATGAGTGGTGTGGGGACAGTCCCTGTCCAGGTGGGGGCTGCTCACCTGGGGGGCAGAGCCTGGCTCAAGCCCCGCTTAGCTGAATAAATAACATCCCATGGTGATGGTGTGCCTTGGCACTCTGGGAGGTGGGGGGAGAGTAGAGCCTGTGGGGGTGGGAACAGAACTTTGCTGGAGTAGGGGCCACAGAGGCTCCACGAGGCTCTTAGTTGGCCTGGCTGGCCTGGGATATGGGCTCAGAGAAGAGGCTGCTGGGTTGTGCCGGGGCTCCAGTTCCAGGAGGGGACAGCAGGTCTCTCTTCTAGCCTCTAGGATCAAGGCCAGACTCAAGACGAGGTGTTCACATTACTGTTCTCGGGCTGGCTGCTGGCCTCCTTGTCTGGAGTACTTCCCTCTGCCTGTCCTTCTGCAGGGGAGAGGAGAAGTAAATTTTAGACACATTTACACACTGAAGCACAGGGGGTCTGGAAGGACCAGCCAAACTGATCATTGTGGTCAGCATCTGAGCAGGCTAAGTGCTGGGAAGGGGGTGACCAAAGGCGCTAGCCTGCTCTCTCATGCCTCACTCTTACCATGGACAGGCTGGCAGGGATGCTAGTATAGTGAAAGTCAGTAACGGTCAGGGTTATGGACAGGTGCTAAAAGCATGAGATGAGCGTGTGCTCTCCAGTAGGGAACTGCGACTGCTAAGTTCCCAGCAAGAAGTATGTGCTTAGTAAATGGGAATTCATTGAGGACAGTACAGCAGACTCAACCAGTCCAGCTCAGGAGTGCCCACGATGGCCTGCACATTCCAAATAGAGGGTGCACATATGGACTGCCTGACTCAGCTCAGGACACCACTGCCAGCATCCAGCCAGAAACCTGGGCTGGGCTGGGCTGGGCTGAAGTGAGGCACGGCAGTAGGCTGAGAGGAACAATCTGGCCTGCTCTCAAATCCCTGTGTGAGCTGAGTCTCCTCCCTCCCAGCTTCTTCAAACCCCTTTGGGAGGCGGGGCCGGCAGCTTCTGCCTCACCTATCTGACAGCGGTGTACCCAGCTTGTACTCTATCCTCAAGCCTCCCAGAGTCAGCATCCTCCACAGAGCCTGCTTATGGTTAAAACTCAGTCGTGCAGTCTTTCAAGCCCAATAACACTGTGATGCCACTGAAGGTCCATCTCATTCTGCCATTAGGCCTGTCTTTATGTCTGAACTGAGCTCTGGGCCTGGCCACTGCAGGCACAAACAACCCACACAACAACCTGAAGGTATGGCTGGGGTCATGAGACCCATGAGAAAACAGGCTCAGGGGGCAAGTTGATGGAGAGCCTGTTTACTACCAAGTCTAACATCTTCCACTAAGCTGCATTCTCTACAATTTATAGAGGCTTGTTGGCAGGACGGCCTCCCAGCACCCTGCACGGCAGTTTAGGCCCTGATTGCTAAGGGAAGTAAATAGTGTGAATAGAACTTAGCACTGTGGCTCAAGTATGTGCCAATCTGAGCCTGCCTGGCGTTAAGCTACCTCCTCTGAGGATGGTGACTGAACCAAGGCTCTATCCCACAAGGTTTTCTGGGCCTCTGGAGGCTTAACACACAACCCAGGTAACATTTGCATTTTGAGCAAATTAGCTTCAACCCTTTGAACTCCACATGATCTCTGCTCTGTTACTCTGTTGGTAGAAACGGTAGCAAGTCACTTTGCAGTAATCAGCCTGGCAGGGATGAAGACATTCTAAACACAATGTCCCTCACCTGGACTGTACTACTGAAACAATAGACCCCAAGAAACTAGGTAAGCCCTAGGGTCTGCTGAAGAAAAGCCTAAAGCCTGGGCCAACCAGAGGGACTTTTCTCCTGGAAAGGGCTCTGCAACTTGTCAGATCCTAAGGACAGTGGGCCCTAAACAGTGAAGGGTCCATGATGGGCAGAACCACACCTTGTGAAGGACTGCTTAGCTATGCACAACTCTGGTCTCTACTTGAACCTGCCCTCATGGCAGGGTCCCAAAGATGAACTTGGAGGGGTCACCTGATCTCTTTATTCCTCCTCCCTATATAGCCACACTGAATAAATTGCCTTTTCCTGATCTTCAGATTAATCTGGCTTTTGAAAATTCTTTTAATTTGGCCAGGTGGTGGTGGCACACGCCTTTAATCCTAGCACCCAGGAAGCAGAAGCAGGCAGATCTCTGTGAGTTCGAGACCAGCCTGGTCTACAAGAGCTAGTTCCAGGACAGCCTCCAAAGCCACAGAGAAACCCTGCCTCAAAATGAACCCCCCCCCCAAAAAAAGCAACAAAAAATTCTTTTAATTTATTTTGACTTTACATGTATAAGTGTTTTGCCTGCATTTATGTGTGTAAGTGTTTTGCATGTACCACACGCATGCATGGTACCTTTGGAGGCCAGAGAGGGAACTGGATCTCCTGCAACTGGAGCTACATAGTGTAGGTGCTGGGAACCAAACTTGGGTCCTTTATATGAGCAGCAAGTGGTCTTAACCACTGAGCCATCAATCCAGCCCCTATTGGTTCCTGTAATTGGCATACTGAGGAATGAGATGCGAACCTGGCTTACTGGAGCATAGGATGTGACCCTAAGTCCTAACAATCACGCCTCCTCTGTGCCAGCCCCGGCTCCCCCTTAGTTGGGGAGAAGGTCCTCTCCCATCAGCCTGTATCAGGGAATAAGAAACTGTGCTACCCAGGGTCTGTGCACTGTCGGTCCATGACTACACTGTGGCTTCTCTTCCTCTTAGGCAAAGAAAAGCAACATTTGCTCCTTGTCTGACAAGTCACCAGGAACAGACAGATTCGTCCACACCACACTGGAGAGTGCTTACACACCAAGCAGGCACAGGCTTGGAGAGACCATGGAGCTAGGACCTCTTAAGTCTTTGAGGAATACAGTCCCATCCTACTCAGGTTGTGCATAGGCTCTTGGAAGTTGTGACAGAGAAAAATTCTGGGGCCCTTAGCTGTTGGGTCAGGGGTGACATTTAAGGCTCTGTCTTCTGTCTCTGTGAGTCTGATGGGCACCGAAATGCCTGGAGACATTTTATTTCGAGGCCTCTTCACAGAGGCTTTTCATAGCAGATCACTTCGCCCCAACTCTACTCCAATCCCTGGCAGCGAGCACTGTTCTGTCTTCATGTCTCCTTTTTAGACGTCAGTCACTGGCTAGCAAGTATCTTGTGCTGGGGGGACCCAGATACCACAAAGACTCACAGGACAAACAGTGTGATAAGGGCCTGCATGAGGGGACCAGCAGCTATGATGGCCAAGGAGGGTGAAAGGCACCAAACAAAGCTGATTAGAGCTGAAGAGAGCACAGCAGTCTTGAAGAAACCCTTGGCACTGTGCCCAGTGTGCCAGCTGGACACACTGCTCATTCGGCGAGCAGTGAGCAGCCACTGAGTAGGTGCCTGTCACGTGCCAAACACTGCTAGTCACAGAGGGCACAAGACAGCCTGGGCTGGAGCAGCTCAGCTGAGGGTGGGGCGGGGGGTGCTTACAGGGCCACGGAGACAAAGGGAGAAAGGGAGCTCCCCTGCTAGAGACAAGCTGTGGTCAGGGAAAGCCCCAGCATAAAAGACACAGTGAGAAGCAACCACCACAAATGGACCATGCATTGGTGAAGAAGCCCAGCACAGCTTTTCACAGCCTGTAGGTCTTCACTCCGGTTGAAAGAGAGAGCAAACAGTGAGGAATGGGAGTTGAAGCTGCAGAGGGATGAGGCATGAGCACTGTGGAGGTGTCCACACTTGAGCAAGCAGGAGGGAGCAGACAAGGGAGGCCAACGGCCTCGAACAGGAAAACGGGGTGAGGTTCTGATGCTAAGAGGCAGGGCACTCTCTCAAGGCATGGAGACTGTCATATGAACTACAGTCATTTTCTGGCTGAACCTAGGAAAATTCCCAGTTTCTCTTGGCCTGAATTGACATGAGAAGTGGGGTCTCTGCCCCCAACATCTTCTCTGTTCTGTCCCCCTTCTGGGCATTGAGGACCAAGAACTCTAGACTGGGGCCACCCAGACAAAGACAATGTTATGGCCCAACAGGGACCGACTGCTCCTGGAGTGACACTGGAGGAAGCCACTCTGTACTGCGGGAAGTGGTGTGTATTGCAAGCATGGACTCGGGGCCTGCAGCAGAGAAGAACTGGTAGGGAAGGAGGGATCTACAGCTATCTGTGGATCTGAGCTGAGAGAGTCCTCCAAATAACAGAAGGAGAAGTGGGGAGCAGGGGGTCCCAGGTACTACTGGGTGGCTCCTCTTGATCTCTTCCTTGGGTCATTCAGCCTGTGGTCACCAACTGCCTGCCATGTGCAGGAAGAACAGAAGCCCCTCTCTCTTGGAGCTCAAAGTCACAGAAGTGAGACCTTTGAGGGTAATATGGCTGGGGCAGCACCTTAGCTCGCAGAGGAGGCTGCTCAGGGCATCTGCTAAGCTGGACCTGAGAGTAAAGGGACAGCAAGAGGCTCTAGCTCTATTGGGGATCTTCTAGATGGGCAACAGTGAAGTAAAGGCCCTGACAAAGAAGCCCTGCACCCTGACAGAACTAGACAAGGACGAGTGGGGGAAGGTATGGGTAACAAGGCCTGAGGAGAACCCTAGGCCAGGCTGGCCAGCAGGGCATAACTTCTGGGGAGCACTGGAGAGCATCTTGGCTCTGAGGTGTTACCAGGGAGTCTGGGGCAGAAGCCTGGCAGGGCTGGATGGCTAAAGAAATCCTGCTGTCTGCTGTGCAGGAAGGGCAGAGACTCCTGGTGAACAGCAGGTAACATGGTAGCTATGGGGATGAAGAGAGGATGGGGCATGAGGCAGAGGGAGTTAGGGTGTATCACTGAGACCTGACAGGGCTTGTTGGACTGAGGGCGGGAGAAGGGAAACATCCTAGATGCTTGCCAGAGTCCCCAGGACCAAGATGCTGGCATCCTCCAACCTAGACATTGGCTGGGCTCTGCTACTGACCATGGACAGCCCCATTTAAACACACTTCTCTGAGGAACGGTGAGACCTGGAGACTAGCAAGAGCTAGCAGAGCACCTCCCGACCTGCCCACCGGGATGCTCGGCACAGGCTCTGACCTGACCCCTCAAGTGCCAGCTCGCCCATGTCACCAGCTAGCTTCCGCACGCTCACGGCCTCCGAGTCACCCTGGATGTCAGGGACTGCATTCCGACGGCCTGTTCGGTCACAGGAGATGAAGTCCGAGTAGGAGGACTCGACCTCCATCATGCCTGTCGCATCGCTCCTCAGGCCTGTGGGGACAGGAGCAGGAGAGCAGAAGTGAGGTGCTGATATTCTCTGACATAATGACACAACTGCCTTTTCCACCGGAACTGAGCAGAAAGCGCGGGACAAAGGGAACCAAAACCACTGTGGCCCCAGTTAGAGTACTATCCACATCTTCTAGAACAGCACATGGCCAGGTGATGATGCCTGACTAATCCCAGTACATGGGAGGCAGAGACAAGGTCTCTGTGAGCACTAAGCTAACCTGGTCTACAGAGTGAGTTCCAGAATGGCCAGGGCTATGTAGAGAAACCTTGTTTTAATAAAGAAAAAAAAGAAAAGAAAGAACATGCGTGAGGGTCAGAAAATGGCTTAGTGAGTAAAGGAGCGTGCTACCACACCCTATGACCTGAGTTCAATCCCTGAAAACCATGTGGTAGAGAATGACTCCTGCAAATTGTCCTCTGACCTCCCCACCCCCCCTCTCTCCCTCCCTCCCTCCCTACCTCTCCCTCTCTCTCTCCCTCCCTCTCTCTCTCC